TGAATTTTCAGAGTATAACTTTTTTGTAAGATGGAGACACCTTTGTTGGGCAGGTTCTTATTTCTGAATTTAGAAAAAAAAAAATAGCAGATGTATTAGTTTCTTAAAGCTACTGTAACAAAGTACCACAAACAGGGGGCTTAGAACAACAGAAATTTATTGTCTCACTATTCTAGAGACCAGAAGTCCCAAATCAGTGTGTTGGCAGGTACATGTTCCCTCTGAGGGTGCTGGTGAATGCTGTTTTAGGTCTTTCTCTTAGCTTCTAGTAGTTCTTTGGCTTGTTGTGGCAGCGCAACCTCATTCTTCACCTGGCATTCTCCTGTGCACATGTCTGTCTCTGTGTACACACAGAGACACTTTTTAAGAAAAAGATTTTTATTAAAATACAGCAGTTTCGAGGTGGCCTCTTCTGTAAACCCTCAGTTACAGGACTTATTTCAACTAGTTTTTGGATGGTTCTCCAGGTTGATCATTGTATAATTTAGTTGTATTTTTAGTGTGGTCACGGGAGGAAGAAAACACAGCATTTACCTACTCTGCCATCTTGACTGGAAAGCCCAAATTTCCCCTTTTTCTAAGGAAGTCAGTCATATTGATTTAGAGCCCACTCGAATGACTTCATTTTAATTTGATCACCTCTGTAAAGACCCTGTCTCCACATAAGGTCACATTCCGAGGTACTGGGGATTAGGGCTTCAACACATCTTTTTGAGGAGACACAATTCAACTCATAACTGTATTTCAAATTTCCACTAGGCAGTCCAAAAAGTGGTAGAAATATTTTTCTGTCCTATTGGGAAAAAAGCTTTAAATTTTTGGAAGTCTTTTTGTTTTGTCTGTTTATTTTCCTCCAAAATAATACCTCTTATTGTTGGCTAAAAATTCATGTCCTGTGAATAGTAACAGCTTCAGCTCTTTGCATTTACCCTTTGGTCAGGGAAAATCAATTTGCTCTTGAACATCAATTGTTTGTTTTTATTCCTACTAGCTAGGTGTTGCATTTTTAGTCACAATATTTAGATAATAAATGGTAAAAAAAAAAAAAAAGCTTGGATATATAATAAAGAAGTATATAGACATCTACAAAAATATCCCCCAAAATTACAGCTGCAAACACTTAGCTACAAACTTATCTGAAAACTTTTACATTTGTTTTCCAAAAAGAACAGGGAGATATTTTTCCCATGTTCCAATGGGGCCAAACCAAAAACCTGAGCAGTAGAACAGACTTGCTACGTCACTCCTCAATTGGAGTGGGGCATGGCTAATGCCTGAGACTGTGGATAAATCAAAAATGCTTGATGAGCGTAGTACTTATGTTTTGCAGAGGAAGGAAGGAAAGAAAATATTCTAACTTCACTCACCTGATCATTCTCTAAGAAAATTCATCTAAAAATTCTTAGCACATTCTGTTGAAACATGAGGAAAAAACCTGAATTCTGTAAAAATGTTTACTTGATTCTTTTAATTTTATCTTTTCTCTTGTCTCTCACTTCCTCTTTTCTTTTCCTCTTTTTCTTTTTAAGCCCCATAGATGCTTTTACTAGTTTTTTCAATGAATGGAAACTAATCCTTAGCATTTGCCTATATTTCTGTCCTCAAGAACATTCACAAACTTTTTTTTCTAGCTCAAATCACTTGAAAATATATTTAAAGTGTATAGCTAAATATGCAGATTATGTTAATTATTTTGGTAGCCAGCCACATTAACCAGTTAGAAAGTTGGACTAATTGGAACATTTCAAAAGGGAATTGAATGGAATGGTGGTTTGATCAAGTAATTGAAAGTCCAGTCTGAATACCTCACTCTGGGAATTCTCTCAACAGTATTTGGTTTTCTTAGACATAGAAAAAACCAAGCTTTTCTTGATTTCAATTAGCTACCGTGTAATTAAATTGATAGGCATTGCATTCTGTTGGTTTCAGTTTAGAAATAGGGGAGCTCTTAAAGATTTTAAGTCTAGGTGTCATTCATTTATCTGCATTTACCAATGTTGTGCTATATTAAATAAGTTAGAAAGGACCCTACTAAAATCCTAATATCTATGTTATTGTCATTCTCATTTGTAGCTTCTTAGATTCGAACTATTCCTTGGGTCTATTTGATAAATGTTCTTCCTACAGGCAGTTGTTTTGAGAGAATATAATACTACATGTCTGAGGACATTAAGCACCTGATTACCTGACACTCATGAGTTGATTACCCAAATCTTTCAATATATATTTGAATTTTTTTTTTAAAGGCAAACTAATTGACCACTTAAGCTTGGTCATTATTCAGAGTCAGCAAACAGGAAATAATTAAAACATGAGGTTTATACTAGTAACCAAAGAGGAAATTGAAGAAATTCCAGATTGTTACAGTTTTTCATTGGCTTCATTTCATGACACACACTGCCTTTCATTCACATTACATGTGCTTATTTTAAAAAAAATTAAAAATGAATCAGAATTAATTCTCAATTTAAAAGTGAGGCAAAAAATGTGACTCATTTAATATCATTGGACATGCCTGAGGGTGGCACAAACCAGAAATAGGCATAAATAACTTCTGTACAGGTCTGAGTGCCTATAATAATAGGACAACATCCATTTTACACAGATGTAGAAATGGTGATCTTTTCAAATGTTTTTCATTTTGATGTGTAAATTTTGTGGATAAGTTTATTTTCTCAATTCTATTTAGAATTGTTCTTGGCCATTTTTCCTTAAAATTGCCTTTGAAATCAGTGCATTGCACTGATTTTTAGAACTGATTTAATCAATTCAAAATCAATGCTGTAGTTGTTTCAGAATTTATACCTTTGTCAAGATTACATTACCAAACCCCAGGCAAGGGTCCTTTTATGAAAGGGAAAAGAGGAATATGCTAATTAACTATCAAAATTGCTTTGTTTGTATCCTCATTTCCTTTTTGAATTATATTGTTCTCCTGGGGTATTATGCATGAGATGCTGTCCTGTGGACTGATGCTAATTGAGTAAATCTAACACCAAGCCTGCTTCATTTTATTTATTGCAGCATTTACGTTTCTCTTTTTTGGAACATAGAAAACTAGTCAAAATTCAGGGACATATCCAAATTAGGAATCTAATTTTGTCTTTCATTGACAAATTTACTTTGTGTAAATGCAGCCTGAAAAATATTTGCTTCTGATTAATAACTTGTGTTTGTATCTGGAGACGTTCTTGACATACTGCCAGTATGTTTTAATCAATTAATCACTTTATATGTTCTACCAGGCATCATGTCTTGCGGGTGGACTTTGACTAAGGTCAGGGTAAAGTTGCTGTAATCAAAGGTGTGACAGGGGGCTTAAGAGGTCTGCACAATCTTGTTGAGGGGTGCTGGAATGCAGACTAACCATCACATGAATTTTCTTTGCTGACCAATTCATCCCACTATATTTTGATAGGTTGAAATCGAAGGGAAGACAGTAAACAGTAAAAATAGACTAACGTAATATAATAATTTATATATCACTAGCTATGCAACGTGGATGTTATATGCCCACTCTGAGCCTGCTTTCCTCAAGTGAGGGGCAAGTACCAGGGAGGGTTTTTGTGAGGATTAACATGAGATAATGTAGACCATCTGGTGGTACCTGGCTGGTGAGTACATGAGTGAGGGAGAGAAGGTGTAAAGGAAGAAAGAATTTATTGACTTTGATTGCCTCTGCTACAAAGAGGTTTTGTACACGTTATGCAAAACACACAAACAGCTGTTTTCAGAACCTTGCACCATCTTAATTATCTCCCGAAAGCACTTCTAAAATCTAAGAAAACCAACCGTATTGATAACTGAGTGTTCACTAAAGGTCCCTTGTTTTCATTATAATTTGTTGCATGTTAGAATTAAGGACCTGTTTTGGGCAAAGAAGTATCTGTGTGCATGTGTGTGTGTTATAGAATAACTTTGTAATAAGATTTTGGTGATTGCCAATATAATATTACCAATTGAAGCAAACTTTTCTCTTATCTAATGATGCTTAAGAAAATTAAAAATAGAGAGAGAGAACATTGATCTTAACTAGTTGCTTCCCCAAAGGTGGTGTACACCCCAAGTGGTGTACAGGATTAGCGACAGGGGTTGAAGAAGAAAACGTTAGAGCTTCTTTTTAAATTTTATCTGATACTCATATTTCTACTTTTATATGTCTAATAATACACATAGGATATAGAAAGATACTTAGTCATATATTGAGGGGAGTAACTGCTTAAAAGTTAATTTTATACAAGTGGATAATCAAAAACGTTCAAAGACCACTCCAGTAGACAGTAAGGAGGAAAGAGACTCTTTGTTTTGAGGTTGTTTATCAGAAGGAAGAAAAAAAACCATGATAAAGAAAGGAAAAAAATATTGTGTATATTTTACATTTTTTCATTAAAGAGTTTTATATTAAGCTTCATATTGCTTCTCTGTTGTTTGAGGAACTTAAACTATTTTTATGATTTCACTTATGTACTTTCATATTATCTACACTTGTTAATGCTTAGAGTAACTGCAGAAGACAAAAAGCATGAGTGTTGTTTACTGATGCCCTTTTCATTGCTAGGGCTTTATTCCTGAAGTGGCTCACACTTAACAGGAATATTTTGAGGACTTTTTCTTACTTTCATCATCATGTTAATGAGCTGTAATTAGCATTATTGAGATAACTGAGTAGGTATTCATTTTAAAAGTTTATGTGTAATATATGCATACTTGGACTGGGCTTGTAGAATAAGGCAGTAACAATCTTTCTCTTGAAAGTACATGTGAATTATTTTTGCCTTAGGCTAATCTTGAAAGAAACCTCTCTTGATGGTCTCCCTTGAAGAAGTAATTGACTTTGGTTGGGTCCAAGGTAGAGTGTGTTTTACTAACCTTACTCTGTTGTGAAATTAACTCTAATGTGTCAAAACAAAATTTGTGACAGTTAAAATAGAGTTTTAGTAAAATCAGCGTGTTATAATATTAACAAAATTATATTAATTCAAAATTTATTTTTCTTTTAGTTCACAGGAAGATGAAAGACCTATGTCACCTTTCTATTTGAGGTATTTATTTGATTTTTGTTGGTCTATTACAGGGAATGGAGGAGGGTTAAGTCTCTTTTGAGTTTATTTGCCCATTTAAATTCTTTTCAACAGAATAGTCTAGAGTGCAGCCAGACTAAGCTTATTGGAACCCTTACCATATTGTTCCCGCTGTATTTTTCTTCTCTTTGTTTAAGAAATCCAAAAACAAAAGTCGATATAGTTGAAAAGACTGAAATAAGATATTTTGTTTTAAATTCAGAAATGTCCAGGTAGCCATTTTAATTTCATAAAGGATCTGATGATTAGGCTGTAACCTAAATTTAAAAACCTCTATTCTATACATATATATATATCAAGAAAGGGTGTGAATACAAGTCTTATTGCTGAAGAAGCCTTAGATTATGTTGCATCATTTTCTAGATAATGAAACTAAATATTCAGAAAGTTCATGAGCTTCAATATTATTTTCTAAAGCTTATAAAGCCAGAATAGCAACTACTAAAACAGATAAGTTTACAGAATTCAAAGTAGATGTTAGAGATCACCTCTCTAGATTAAAATGTTTGCTGTGTTAATGCGATTTTCAGTGAACCATCCCAACTTAGATATAACAAAGAATCAAGTTTTCTTATTGCATTTCTTTCCCCACTACCTACCAATTTCAAAGCCTTAGAAAATGCATTTGAAAATAAAATGAGCACAAATATTAAAGTTAAATTTGCTGAAGTTTTTAAAAATCCTCAATTATGAAATTTACTTTTTAAAAAGAAATGTCAGGATATATGAAACATAATTTGTGTATTTTTGAATCTTATTTGTTGCAATAGTCTCAGAGTGAGATTTAGACTTTAGTTCATCCACCAGTAATTCAGAAATGTGTCATAAGACCTCAGGTTTAGCCAAGCAACTATTCAGTAGTGTTCTGGCTTTTAGTGATTTGAAGCACATTGCATAATCACTCTGTGGCAAGAGAGGGAACATTTGAGGTTTCAGTTTGAGGCAATATGGTGTACCATTTGATTCATCCTGGTTTTCTGCCAACCAAATCAGCATATTCTGGTTCATAAGCTATCTCAACTGTACAATTACTATAAACACGTGAGGATGTTGTTGCTGAGCACATAGTGACTCTGGTATTTATCATGTAAATACACACAGTACTATCACATAGATGATTATCATATTAATAGAAATTAAGTTTTACACAGTGCAAAATATTATAGCACGAGATCTTGTCAACTAATGAGATTATTAGTTCTCCAAATGTCTTATCTTTATTACTCTGGGCAACATCAATCTATGTTTTACATAGTGTCGAATTTTTTTTTTTTTTTTTTTTACCACTATTATAAAAAGCAGATGGGACAAATTGGTTTGTAAGTGACAAGTTCTCAAAGACACAAATTGTGTTTTGTAATGTGATAATTTTTGTAATTACCAGACTAATAATGTAGTCTTGAAAAAGAAATTCTGTGCCTGCAAAATGAAAGTAAAAGAATGTGAAGAAAATTAATAGACTTGATGTATTACTAAAATCTTGATAGAAGCCATTTCACCTTTCAATGTTAAGAGTCATAAAAACTAAAATATGATAAAAAGTAGGAAAAAAGTGCAAACATGCAGTTTCTTTTCCTGAGTAACATATATGATAGTCTCAGAAATTATGTAAGAATTAGATTGGTACAAGTTAATTCAACTTTTTTTTCTTAATTACCCACTTGACATAAAGTAGGGGGTACGTATTGGTAAAACATGAACTGTTTTTTCAAATTATTTGCATGGCTGGTTTGAGATTGACTTTTCTAGTATACAGAATTTAAGTAGGAGAAAGAAAACATGATTGATAATTATGATTAAGTTCTTCTATATTTTTGGACTAGGAACATAACATGTCCACTGATAATTTAATTTATAAATTAGTGTACTTTTTGCACTGCCTCTAGTGAACAAATGAGTGCTAAATATCTTAAATATATTTAAATAAGTTTTTGTAGTTTCTTTGCCTTCCATTCCTTTCCCTTCTTCTTTATTAAAGATTCCTTTGCTGCAATGCCCCAAAAGGGGAATTATTGCAAGACTCATTGATTTTATGATTAACATGGTAAAAAACTAAATTGGCTCTTTTAAATCCAAAATAATATTTACTTTGCCTTTTGAAACATGAAAAATGATGAAAATTGCAGAATGATATCTTCCTTATTTAATATGGAATGTTATTTATTGTATTTTGACAATGTTGATTGGTCAAGGAGGTGCAGGGTTGGGAGGAAAAGCCCAATCAAGAGATGAGATACATCAGCTGAGATGGGTGTTCACCAGAAATAGATCCAGCCACAAGCAGCCAGGCAGAGGGGATGGTGGAGTACTCAGTTTGGTAGTTTATTCTGAAAGGTCCAGCATGAGGTAGAATGGCAAAACTCAGTGGTTGAAAGTCTGGAAGTGGCAGTCTTCAGGGAAACCAGATCAAGAGAGAGAGAAAATAAGAGCAAAGCAGAGCCCCAGTTTCAGAGGAAGGAGAGTAGATGATTCATAATGGAACTCACATACAGAAATCAGACAAGGTGTGGAGACAAGGTGCATTATTTAATACAACAAGACAGAGTCTGTGTTTGGGGTAGAGGATAGAGCTGGAGAGCCTACAGAGAGACTACAGTGCACTAATGGAGGTTTCAGGACCTTCCTGTTGCTGGAGGAAGGGGATAAATGCAGGACAGGGAACCAGAGAGGCCATTGCAATTGTTACCTTGCTCCACTTTTCACCTTGTAGAATTTCAGTTTCTGTGATTGCAATTCTCTTTCAACAGTCATGGCTGAACCACATTTTAGTCTACTGTACATTTCAGTTCTCTTCAATTTTTTCTGTAGTAAGGTTGGCCTGTTATAAATAGACATACACTCATTCTAGATTAAATATCTTCTGTGATAAGAACTCTGTCTTCTCTAATTTCAGTATTTCTCCAGCCTAAGCTAACTTACCACAGAGCCATTTGTCCATGTTTTTAAAGGAAAGAAATAGTAGCTTCAAATCTACACCTGCCGCTGTCCCATGTGGCAAGTTTATTGCAGCTACAGTAGTTCAAACAGTAGGTGTCATTGTTCCCCAGATGCTCGTTGGAGATTACCTGCCTTGTTGAGGTAAGGAAATGAAAGAGAAGGACAGCTTATGCCAAACCCTTAGTGAGATTGTCACAAAATGAACATGAACCTGCAAACCTAAAGTGAAGAACATTTCTTGGCTCAAACGTCCATGCTCCGGCCTCTTTCATAGTCTAGGCTGGAATCCCAGAATAGGAGCTTCTACCTCAGTTGCTTAGATTGACACCAAAGCAACTTTTGCTGTACATGTTCTGTGCAACATACAGCCTGTTATTGTCTGAATTCTTCTTCCTGTCATCTAATTAGATCTAGCCGGGATCTATTGCTAGTTCTATTTCTGTTTGCCTGAGTTTTCAGTATCTGCAAGCCCAGGTTTCTGTGGTTATTTCCACTGAGACTAGGGTTCTTTCTGTTTCTCCTCATCTCTGCCTGCTGCCACGTACCTTCACTACTTTCACATTCCTTATGGGCAGAGTCAGCCTGTCCTCATCCCATCAGACTTCGACCCTTGAATTCCTTCTTTTTTATAAGTTCCTGGCTTGTACATATAGCCTGTGTACCTACAACCTGTCATTCCTGTACTTTATCAGATTCCTAACTATGTGCTTCAGGGGCTGCATACCTGTAACCAGTCTCGTTCACTGGGCTTTCACCAGCTCAGCTGGCCTCCGAATGGTGGTGTCTCCTCGCTTACCTAACACCTGTCTTCTAGCAACTGCACTGATCTTCCTCTGCTTTCCCTTTCTCATTTTGTGCTCCATTGAAAACCTGAAATTGACAGTCTGTATCAATTTCAGCCCAAATTTTAATGCTCACAGTGCAAATTGAAGCCAAATTACTGTTTTAGCAAATTTGGAATTACTTAGGGTCAGCTTCAGTTTTTCATATATTTTTTAATTTTTCTGAAGCGGGAACATCAAATAGATTTATTTCTAACTTAGCTGTTTGGCATACAAACTCATTCTTTAGGAATTTGTTAATTTTTTTATTACTAGAACCTAGCAATCATCAATTTTATGAAAATCTTTTAACTAGAATTTTCGTTGATGAAAAAAATTTAGCTTTGGATAAATTCAGATTAAAATATTGCCTGACATTTAATGGAATCTGGAAATTATATCATACCACTTCTATTTTGATGTATAGAAAAATTGTTTCTAGATTATTTTTACAAAGCTTTTTGGGGATTCTCTCTCCAAACAATTTGTGATAGAATTTGTAAGTTTATGACCTTTTGGTCATATTTTATTAAATTTTAATAGCTTACTTTTCTCCTTAAGCATACTCCTAAATTGTCATTCTGAGGTATAAATCTCACATTATTAAATGGAATAGTTTAGGGAAATACAGCATATCAGACATTATATTTGTTTATAAGCCTGTTTTGGGCTACTAACAAGTGGAACAAAGAAGCAGGCAATTTATTTAATTATATACTTGATTTTTTTCCCCCAAGATGATAAAGTCAGCTAGATATTTGGGTGTCTTTAGACACAAATAACTGTATATTTAAAATATTTGTTTTCTTTGTCCTTTTTGACTACAGCAGTGTTCTAAACTGAGGAGTTATATCACCTCTGCCTGTGGAGCTTTTTTTCTCTTATGGGATGGTAAAATATAAATGAGAAAATTTTCCATTTTAATCATTTTAAATTAATTTTTAATTGCGATAAAATATACATAATATAAAATTTACCATCTTAAACATTTTTAAGTGCATTTCTCCTAGTAGTGCTCAAGAGTTCAATTTCTCCACATCCTTGTCAACACTTGTTATTTCTTCTTTTTTAATGACGGCATCTTTATGGTATGAAATATGTGGAGCTCTTTAAAAATGCTGGGGTCTCACTGGAAAAAATTCTGAGTCTCCAGAGGGGCTGGGTGTCCGTATTTTCAAAAAATATCATAGAATAGTCTTTTTA